TGCTGGCGGTTTAATTCATTTCCCCCTCCCTGACTTCCTTGTGAACGCATAAATAATAAATCCTTGCACAGTCCGAACAGCCAAGACAAACACACACTGGGGCACACCGTGTACGGGGTTGGTTGGTTTTCTGTCGTGGCCATTATTATCCCTTTGTTTTCTGTTTGTTTTCTAGTTTTCCTTTTCCCAAAAGTGCACAACACAGCAAATAAATAATAACATTTATCAATAAATTAATTCAATAAATATCCTCGTGGCACAGAGACATGGCTGGTGAGTGGAGGGGAAGGGTGGGCTGCCCTGCTCTGTTCTGCTCTGCCGGCTGTGGGGTCCGCTGCTCCGGCCCTCGGGGATCCCACGTTTACTGGCAAGTCCTTGCGAGACAGAGGTAGCAATCGTTCTCCCTGCTTTACGGGGAGGGGGAAAATGAGGTATGGAGCGAGGCATCGCTGGGAGCTGGCAGCAGAGACGGGGTGGGATGGAACGGGGAGGTCCCAGGAAGCCCAGTTGGGGCTCGTGGGGCTCGGACCCCCAGCACGCGCAGTGGGCAACACCTTGGAGGGCAGAGCAGGGAGGAGCTGCTGGGATCCCCTGCTCCACCTCTGGGGCTTTGCTGGTGTTTGCAGGACGTGGCACTGACCCCCTCACCACGAACGTGGCACGCCGAAGTCCATCTCCCCCAGCACCTACCCCGCGGGCCGGACTGCTGCCTGTCTCGAGGCGAGGCCCAACGAGGAGCAGCCCCAAGCCTTGTGGGTTCCTCGTGGGCTTCCTCGTGGGATTCCTGTGGCCGGGCCATGGCTCTGCTCCTGGCCCTGAGCATCGCTCAGGCACAGCCAGTGGTTTCCGCAGGGTCCTGGTGTCCCCCCTCGGGCTCTGCTTGTGCTCTTGCCACTGCCAGTGCAAAATTAACTCTTAAAACAAACACCTATAAAACAAGGCAAAACATTCACTCAACTTCACTTGCAATGAGCTTCCCCCAGCCTCAGCGTGTCTTTGGTGGAGAAGAGGCTGCTCAGCTCCACTTTCCCTTCCCGCTCTCCTACTCCCAAAGTGCTGCTCCGTGCTGAGGAGGGGGGCTGGGGAGAGCTCTGGCTGCTGGAAGTTGGGCAAGGGGGCTGTGCCTGCTTCCTCCCCCCTCCAACCCCGCTGCCCTGCAAGCTGCAGGTAAAGTGCAGTTTACCCCAGCAGAACCTGTGCTCTGAAAGGTCACACCGCACCAGTGCTGTACTGGTGTGTACTGGGGAGCCCGCAGCACCCTGGGTTGGAGCCTGTTTGCTCATGAGTCCCACTGCAGAGGAGCGTCACGGCACTGGGGGACCTGAGCATCAGTGTGCCCCCTGTGCTGGGGCACGGGCCACGCTTGTGACCCAACTTGTGGTCCCACTCAAGCCTTTTCCACCAGGAGAACCGAAGTGGGGAGACAGGAGGAGCGTGGGGGGATGAAGTGCTGCACTGGGCCAGTCTGGTGCCACAGGCTGGTCACGGCTGTCGGTGCAATGGCCCGGGCTTGGGGGGCTTCACATTCGTTGTGCACTAGTGCAAAGGGGGGTCAGGAGCAAAGCTGGGTGATACACGGGTCTGGGGAGTGCTGAGGTTTGGGGAGACCAGACGTGCAACCGAGCGGCTTGGAGAGACCCGGGGTGCTGTTCCA